AATGCCCCTACCGTCACCCATTTGTTTCATAAGCATCAGTGTGCGTTTGTTTCGTGTAGTCATACTTCTGCATCCCCGTGACTTAACGCCGATTGCGGAGGGCAAGGTGGTGGTCGGGAGGTGGTGCATGGCAGAGCTAAATAGTTATGGCATGAACAACTTCTGTGCAACAACGAACAACAAGTGTGAAAACAGAGTGTGTACAAAAAAACAAAAAAGCCATTAATCGAGTTTCTCTGAAATAGAACGGCCTTTAGGGTCATCGCATACAGTGTTTTTTTTTAACCCATTAGTTTAGTTGGTCCTGCTGATTGATATTGATAGGGAATGCAGGATTGTGGTCTCTATGACGAGATGAACTGTATACATCGGTCAGTTTGCAAAGATTGAAGTGTTTTGTAGTTCTTCCCTGATTTTCCATCAGAGATTGTCTGACAGAAGAGCATCTATGCAGGAATAGAGGTACAGTATAGGCAGGGAAGTGTAAGACCACCAAAACAAACCTGAACAACAATCCTTTACACATAATCCTTTATATTATTTCTTGCGCTGCAAACTCTGATTTGGTACTCCCTAAATCCACAATGACATTGCAATATGCCAACCTTTAGTGCACCAACTATATCACACCTTTTACTTCAAAAGAGCACTTTGCTGTTTGGGACATTGCACTAACATCATCTGAGCCTAAAAATTGAAGATTGATCAAGCAATGAAAAGATACAGCAAACTTTTACCATCATCGAATGGGAAGAATGAGGGGTACTCTGCTGGTACAGGAAAATGTCTTTCTTTTAGAACATGAGAGTTAAACCCCTTCTGTGATGCATATTTCTTTTGGCAGGTATAACATGTGGCAACCACATCTCGTTGGCACCTTTTCATTCTGCTCACATAAGCTGCAGGTTTCAACTGATGGTAGGAAAAAATAACTCACAATTTAAGCATGTTACGACATTTACTCACTCCGTTGGCGTCATGGTGCTTTTCGAGGAGACCTTTGGTATCTGTAATAGGAACAAACATTATAAATCCCTCTTAGCAATTCACCAAGAGACTTTTGAATTCACGCATACACAGTGCGTGCACACACACACCTCAAACACACACACCTCAAACACACACACACGCAAACGCACACACACACTCGCCTTCAGAGGTTCGTTGGTGTCGTCCACCCTCCTCCTCTTCCTTAAAGTCCTTGATTTCTAATGGAACACCAAAACACTATGAAAAATCCACACCCACACAGATACGGACACACACTCACAGAGGCAAGTTCACTCTTTCCTCTTTCCCCCTCTGAATTCTAAATGGAATACCAAACACCATAAAAAAATCTTCACATCAATTAGCAACTGACATACACAAGCTTGGGCATTTACACTTCACACAACCAACCGACACCGACTTACCCTCTCGAATAGGGCCACCTCAACTTTGTGCAAGCTCTCTTCCAGTTCATTAACGCGCTTTTTGAGCATGGCTATCTCCAACTAGCGTAGAATGGAAATAATAGTAATAATTAATGATTGCTGCCATTATATACCACTTACAGTGTGAGAATTTCTGCCGCCAGGAGGGGAGTCCTTGGACGTCTCAGGTGGGTCCTATGGTCAACAATAATAACGATTGCTGTCATCATATACCACTTACAGTGTGAGGATTTCTGCCGCCAGGAGGGGAGTCCTTGGACGTCTCAGGTGGGTTCTATGTGTAGAATGGGCAATAATAATAACGATTGCTGTCATCATATACCACTTACAGTGGGAGATTTTCTGCCGCCAGGAGGGGGGGTCCTTGGACGTCTCAGGTGGGTCCTATCAATGTGTAGAAGGGGCAATCATAATAACGATTGCTGTCATCATATACCACTTACAGTGTGAGCATTTCTGCCAGGAGGGGAGTCCTTGGATGTCTCAGGTGGGTCCTATGTGTAGAATTGGCAATAATAGTAATGAAAAGCACTAAAGTGCAAACCCTCGGCGGTAAACTAGCGAGTTGTGGCATCGCTGTATGCTGGGCCGTGCGTCATGGACGGAGCCAGTAACACGAGTCTCACCGTAACACGGGGTAGTTGCATTAGTGGTTAGAGCAATAGCTCAGGTGTTTCAGAGGCTCTCATATTTGCTTTATTCAATCTATCCGCTCTTCTGTGTTTCAATGCTCTCGCCAGACGTTTTATAGATGGGAAGGCAAGGCCGCAACCACAAACTGCTCGCCACCTGAACTAATATGCTACATTGCGAACATACCTTGCTCAGCATGTTTATCGTTTATCCATAGGGAACAGAGATCAAAACTGACAGGAGGCCGTGGATCGTATATAGTTCACATTCTACTGCTCATTCTACTTGCATTCTACTCCTCATTCTTCTGGCAGTAGAATGAGCAGTAGAATGAGCAGTAGAACCACCCCGAACGCAGGAAAACTCTCCACACCTGATGATGATGTGGGTCTCATTATACTGCTCATTCTACTGCCATTCTACTGACATTCTAAATGAGCAGTAGACTACTGTTCATTATACTGCTCCTTCTACTGGCATTCTACTCCTCATTCTTCTGCTCATTCTACTGCCTTCTACTGCTAATTCTACTCCTCATTCTACTGCCTTCTACTGCCATTCTACTCCTCATTCGTAGAATGAGCAGTAGAATGGCACTATAATGAGCAGAAACATAATGCCAGCAGTACAATGAGCAGTGGAATGAGCAGTAGAATCAGCAGTAGAATCAGCAGTAGTATGAGCAGTAGAATGGCAGCAAAATGAGCAGTAGAAGGGAAGTAGAAGGAGCGGTATAATGAGCAGTAGAATGTGAAACTACTGTTCAATATACTGCTCATTCTACTGCCATTCTAGCAGTAGAAGGAGCAGTCAGTAGAATGAGCAGAAGAATGAGCAGTACAATGAGCAGTAGAAATGAACAGAAGAATGAGGAGTAGAATGGCAGTAGAATGAGCAGAAGCATGAGGAGTAGAATGCCAGTAGAAAGAGCTGTAGAATGAGCAGTAGAATGCTCATTATACTGCTACTTCTACTGCCATTCTACTGCTCATTCTACTGACTGTTGGCGGTTGGGCTCCAGGAGAATCTTCTACCATCTGCAGAATAGGGGAAGCGCTTGGACAGAGGGTGAACCCTTCCTGCTTGCCTCTGACCACAAAACACCTTTTCGGCCGTCTGGGAGTCGCCCTTTGGAGTGGAAACGCCACACTGTGGCTCCGTCAGTCCCCGCCTCTACCCCCTTCAACGGATGGCATCATTTGACTTGTCGATTTATTTATATTTTTACTCCAATTTTAGCTTGCATCACTCATCACTATGTTTATTTCCCAAAAAAAAACCCCAAAAAAACTGACTGCTCCTTCTACTGCTCATTCTACTGCCTGCTCATTCTACTGCTCCTTCTCCTGCCTTTATATAAAGAGCAGTAGAATGAGCAGTAGAATGAGCAGTAGAATGTGAGCACACCTTGGTTAGCTCAGGCTTTTCAGACTTTATCCCAATTAGTAGAATGAGCAGTAGAATGGCAGTAGAATGAGCAGAAGAATGAGGAGTAGAATGGCAGTAGAATGAGTATGAGCAGTAGTTCATTCTACTGCTCAGTCTACTGCTCATTCTACTGCCATGAGGTGGTTCGAGAAGGTTCTCACTCTCACAGTGCACATAGAGTACTTTTAAACGAGTTCGGGGTGGTTAGACCGTACCGAACCTTCTCCAACTACATCTCTTCAGGGGATACAAGGTGTGCAAGGTGCAATATGCACCGGTTCGGGGAGGTTCAAGCACATCGAACCTCATCGAACCTTTTGAACAACTTCTGTGCAACAACAAACAACGATGCAAACAAAGTGTGTATATACAAAAAAAACAAAAACAGGCATTCATGGAGTTTCTCTTTCATGAGTGAGTTTCTCTTTGAGATAGAACCTCACGGACCTCCTTCGTCTGTTTGTTTTTGCACCATTCGTGGAGTTGGTCCATCTCAAATTTGCCTAGGGGAAAATCAAAAAAACAACAAATGAAGGTGGAACAAAGTGCTTTCAGTATAGACAGGCATAACTTTGGAACCAAATGTGTGATGTAGGTCATACTGAGTTGTTTGTGTTTACTAGGTCATCAGTATGAGCAAGGATGTCCCCAACCTGCAACACACCCACATACCTTTACCAATGAGAGACTTCAGGAATGGGTCCACCAATGATGACTCGCAGATCTTCTTGCGGTCCCTGGTGTGGTAGTCTCCCTCTCCCTTCTCCCCTGGATTCTGCCCTACCCTTTGATCCAACACCCAGCACACCATCAGCCCTAACTGTAACCAGTCGGTTTGGATAGCAGAATGCATACTATACATACACCCTTTCCCTTGAAAACTCGTTCCATGTGTTCGTCTACACCGATCCAAGTCAATTAAAACAGGCGTGCACGCTTCGTCAAAGCAAATGTTCGGCAGTCGGATATCTTGGTGTGCCCACCCAATTTGGTGGAAGGATTCAATGACCTGCACTAGCTTTTGTACTAGGTCGTGTAGGCAAGATTGTGCCTCTTTGTAGGTCAAGGGGCCATGGGGAATGCCCCTGTATTTGCAAAATTGGCATATGTTTCGAATGCAGTCCGTTTCAGGAAGATCACTGTTTTTTTTCAGGCTCAAGTAGTTCTGAAACAGCTTGTATCGCTAATAGGCTGCCTCGTAGCCTGTAGTGCCAGAACAAGTGTTGACACACACACACACACAGACAAACCAACTATTCTAACCCTCACTGCGCATGCACGCCAAGGGTTAGTAAGGATAACAAGAGAACTACGCAAACACACATAATGCTCTTGGTGCATGTGTGAAACATGACTAACTAGTGAGGCAATCATACCACACAGGAGTAATGCCATTCCTGGCAGTAGAGATCTAGTACCTTGAAAGTGTGTCCTGTAGTCAACTGAGACTCTTTGAGAGTGTGTCCTAACCTGCAGTTGACAGGGGGTTCTTGAGGAACCCGAGACAACAGCAAAAGATGGATCTCCAGAAAATATTGCATCCCCCACAGTGACATCAATACAGTATGAAGGTCCTCACTCAATGGAGAAGGCATGAGTTGGTGTGGACGCTGTGACGGAGTTCTACAACAGCAGCTCTGACGAGCAACAAACAGAACACGGGGTGGATGTATAGCAAACTAGGAATGCAAGACACAACGAACGTTACCTCTCTGCTCTTGAGTGTAATATACGTACGTACCACGAGAGCGTGTCCTGACCTGATCCACAGTCAACACACAGTTCTTGGGTTCCTGACCTGAGTATTACTACTACACACACAACTTTTAGCGGAGGATACGCAATTTAGAGGCGTCCGTTTCCGACCGGAAGCGAGCGGACACGGTCATGAGCGCGTATGCATAAGCGCGAGCTACTTAGCTGCGCTTGATAGCCTATATCTTGACGGTCCGCGTCCCGACTGCCCCAGTCTTCTCTCTGGCGGCGATGGAGAAACGTGACACGGTTCTGCTGGAAATGTTATCAAAGGTGAGGTCGACGCTGAGAGACATATTCCAAGAAAGCGAACTACCCCTTTGGAGTGTATGCTATCCGAATGTCCGAGCCTCCACAGCTACTTTCCGACCACCTCCCTCTGCTAAAACAGGGTACCAGCTCCACCGGTATGAAACCCTTGAAGAAATTTTCAAAAGGTTATCGGGGATGCCATCGGGCAAGGAGTAGTCAACGTTTTCTCAATGCCCGAGACACTTCACAACGAGCACTTTTGGAAAGTGTATTTTCACTCGCTGTGGTACGACCTCTCGCCGGGGCTATCAATCTGTAAAGTAACTTAGAACGAAGCTGAGGTACGACATTATCTGTTGACTCCACTGCTGAAGAAGACGGCTCATGCGGTCTCTATGACCCTGTCACCGGAGGATTGTCCCTGCCTAGAATACTGTTCAGTCCTAGGGATGGAGACAACCGTCGCAGTGGAGAGCAGCAGTAAACCCGGTCGCAAACCCGCAGTAGACTACACTCTGATAGGTTACGTGGAGAGCGACGCGCTTTATGTGATCCCCGTCGAGGCTAAGGCGACCACCTGCGAGAAGGACATCGCACAGCTCTCGCAATATATGGAAACTACAGGAAACGGGCAGTACGTGCGCCCGTTTTGCACGGTGGGATTCCTCTTAGATCAGACCAATGTGAGGTTTGCGTTCTCCGTCTTTGCTCTGGCTCTGGCGGATCAGAGTGTCAGCACATCTCCTCTGCCTCTTCCCCTGCCAGTTACTCTGGTCAGTCCAGTTCTCGCGTGGAGGAGAGGTGTTTCTCTGAATAGACATGTGTGCGTGGCAATGGCCCTCTTAGGCAATTTTCGAACGAAGAGGGTCACAGTGCTGGAGGAAGACTGGAGACACTACGTTGGGGAAGCCTGGGAGGAGGTCAAGAGACTGGCGGAGGAGGCTGCTAAGCAGCCACAAATTCCCAAGCCTGTGCTGAATGATGCATTCGAGGAAATGAAAGGAAAATATGAAGTACTCGAGGAGGAAAATGGCACAAAGAAGTCGGACACAGACACAGACTCGGTGTGACCACAGTCAAGGTCACAGTCAAGAGGAGGAGTCCTCACTCGACCTACCACCAAGGAAGAGAGTAAGGTCGAAGTAGCGTGCCAACAATATGCCAAGGGTGTTCAAACTCCTAGATACACTGGCTGCCACATCACTGCTATTGTGTTCTCAATCTATTGTATTTTTTGTCACTGGTCACACTCACTGTGGAACATCGCCCGACAAGTTAATACTTTCATTTCCGAAGCTCCATATTTCATTCATAATCAACAACTTTGATTTGTATTCTGTGTTAGTTTTCAGTATAGAACATGCTCAGACAAAGTTACTCCTTTTGTTACTCAAGCTTCACTTTTCATTCATAATACTCAAGACAATGTCATTTTGCTACTCTAGCTCCTCGTTTATATCATCAACAACTTTCACTTGTATCCTCTGATATCGGTGTTTTTTTGTGTGTTTCAATCAGTCGGTTTTTGGCAAAGAACAAGGACACCCGCAACACTCAAAATGGTCCCTCTTGTAGCCTAGCTTCAAAGGGAATGCATGGGGAATGTTTAGAACCCACACTTCCTGGGGTTATCTACACTTCTAATTCAGACCCGACTTCAGCACAATAGTTGATAAGTTGCTCTTTCTGACGCTGTGGGAAAGTCTGCTACATGGATAAAACATTTAAGCTAGTACCAGCGATTTCAAAATGCACTTCCATTCGGCATTGGGTAGACGTATCAGGTCGCGTCGATTCCGCCGGATGGTATCGCCTCCAGAATCTACATTGTAGGATTGTGGCACTACCTCGTCTTGCACTTCCCCCTCCCTTTGTCTCTGTGGAATCCGTACCTGGTCTCCAGGCTTCAAAGGTGGTAACTCTCTGGCTCCATGATGGGTGTCATGGTTCGGCTTCTGCCTGGCTTTACTCTGCT